CCAACACAAATACTCAAGTGATTTTGCTGGTGCAGTCCCTCAGTGGCCAGTTCCCTTCTTGTGCCACAGCTGGGGACGGCTCTGGGATGGGTGACAAGGGAGATAACAGAACGTCCCCTTTTTTCCTGGCTGCAAATGCCACCCAGGCGCTGGCATTTGTCATCTACCTACAAACCAGGGCCCGTTAGCTGACAAACCGGCTCCCCCAGAGCTTGGCTCTACTCATGCATAGTTCAGGTGCAGACCGCTGAGCACCCTGCAAGATAAGCTGCTGAATTGTGTTTGATAATGTGGCGTTAGGACATGGTCATGCTTTCCTTGCTGGAATTAAATTTAGGAGAACTTCTTCTGGTGGCTCTAGGCCTCTGGGTGTTTGCTGCGTGCTGAGGGTCTCTGGGGATGCACGGTTGGTGCTGATACGGCAGGGAACATCCTCCTCGGGTCACTTGCTGTCATTTCTGCCCTTCTGCAGTGATCCGCAACGTGAAGTTTAAGATCCTGGATGCAGTGATTGCTCAGGAGCCCTTGCACCGGGGTGGAGGACAGATCATCCCGACGGCCCGCAGAGTGGTCTATTCCGCTTTCCTGATGGTGAGGACTAGGCTGTGCATGACAAGGACTGAGCCTCGTGCCGTGCCGGCCCCCGTGGGCTCCAAGGAGTGCGGATTGCGCGTGTGCGGTTCTGTCTGCCCCAAGGATGTTGGTTTAAACTGACTCATTCATCCATTAATGTTTCCAGCGCCCTTGTGGGCTGGCGAATGGGTTTTACAAGCGATCACGTTCCAGTCTGTCTGGAAACTTGTGTGCATCTGCTCTGTCTCCCCTTCTTTCCTACTGTTTGGCTTGCTGGGAAGGGTGGGCATGGGCGAGAGGGAAGCATGTGACTCACGGCCAGGAGAAAAGCTCCTTTCAGTGTTTGCCGTTGTTTTGGGTAGCCATGGGGCAGCAGGAACCCTTTCATCCCCAGTCAGGCACTGCGTTTGACCAGAGCGTGCCATTCTCTGACTCTTACTAGAACCAGATTGTGTTGGTGCTGCTGGAAGCTCAGTGGTTTGTGTCCCTTTCTCCCCACAGGCCACCCCTCGCTTGATGGAGCCCTACTACTTTGTGGAGGTGCAGGCTCCTGCCGACTGCGTGTCTGCGGTGTACACGGTCCTGGCTAGGCGAAGGTGAGCTGCTCTGACTGGCCTTAGCATTGCAAAGCAGTAACTGCTCGCTTGGGATCTGGGTTTCTGGGTTGCTAGAGACGTTCACAGTCCTAGCACCACTTGTAAAGTGAGGGGAGAGGGTGAAATCTGTCTGAAGTGACAGCCGAAAGCTTCCTTGACTGATCCCAGCCCCTGTGCTCTGTGGGGACAGGATGTCCAGGATCACACACAGCGTTTGGTTTGTGCCTGGTTCTTCCTGAGTGTCAGAGAGGAGAATATATATAAAGGGACAGGAGACACTGCCCCCCCCCAGTACTTGTGTCTGCAAGAAGGACATGAAGCTGTTGGAACAAGTCCAGAGGAGAACGCAGAAATGGCCACAGGGCTGGAGCACCTCTGCTATGGAGACAGGCTGAGGAGGGTTGGGCTTGTTCAGCCTGGAGAAGAGAAGGCTCTGGGGAGACCTTAAAGCACCTTCCAGTCCCTGAAGGGGCTCCAGGAAAGCTGGAGAGGGGCTGGTGACAAGGGCAGGGAGTGACAGGACAAGGGGAATGGCCTGAAGCTGCAGGAGGGGAGATGGAGATGGGATGTGAGGCAGAAATCCTTCCCTGT